GGAGATAAAGCAGGAGAGATAATGGATGTGACTAGAGGAGGTGGAGGACTAACAGAGAAATCCATGTCTCCCTGCAGATGTGACCACACAGATTGGCATTAATCCTGGGAGATGATAAAAATGCATCCAACATAAAAAAAACACACAAAATTTGAATTATGTTACAATTTTTTTTGGATTGCGACATTTTCTTTGTGATAATGCATCACATTTTATTCTAATTTTCCCTGCAGTAAAGCAAAGCAATAGCAAAATGTACAATGAATATATAATTTTTTTAAACTGGCCATTATTTAATTGCCACAGGAGAATTTGTTGCATTGTATTACATCAGCTTTTAGTGTTATAACCCTTTTCGAATAGTAGTTGGGAACATTTACATGAGCAGATTTATGAGCTTATAAATAAACATATAGGGTGCTAAGTGTTGTTATGACATGGTAAAATGATGAATTATTGTTTTAGTCCTAATGAAATTGAACTTTTAAAGAGGATGAAAACATACTGACAACGATCCTTACAATATGTTATAATCAATAAACCACGCTTCTTTTCAAGAATTCATCGTGCTCTGTTGCTATTTGACTTTTTTTTGTTGCACTATAAAGCAAACAAGGTCAAGGTGCTCCAGGATTGGCCAGCCTAGTCACCAGACATGAACCTTATTGAGCATGTCTGGGGTAAGTTGAAGGAGGAGACATTGAAGATGAATCCAAAGAATTTTGATGATGGGAGTCCTGCAAGAGCGCTTTCTTTGCCATTCCACATGACTTTATTAATAAGTTATTTGAGTCATTGCAAAGATGTATGGATGCAGTCCTCCAAGCTCATGGGAGTCATACACAATATTTATTCTTTTTCCACTGCAGCATGACTTTATATTTTATACTGTACATTATTTCTGTTACGTGACAATAAATTTGTCAAAGCAAAGTCAGACCTTACTGTCCTAATTAAATAATTAGAAATCAAGGCATGATCATACTTTGTTTAGGTAAAATAAGCATAATCTAGAGGCTTTTGCCTTTCATATAAGCCACTTCTGATCCCAAATGATCAACTAGAAGTGAAATATGTCTGTATGTGCGTATGTGCGTATCTATCTATCTATCTATCTATCTATCTATCTATCTATCTATCTATCTATCTATCTATCTATCTATCTATCTATCTATCTATCTATCTATCTATCTATCTATCTATCTATCTATCGTGAAAAAATAAAGTGCTTAAATTATCATTTAATTAATGTAACAAATCGAACCATTTATAAATTGTCCTAAAACAGGTTTTATTTATGAAAAATGCAATCGAACAGACTGCAACTCTAGCATATGCTTTGAGACAAAACCATAAAACAGAACGCATGTAAATGAGTGACAAAAAGCAATATGCACAAGAGACATAGAAAGAAGGAAAGAGAGAGAAACAGAGAGAGAGAGAGAGAGAGAGAACAAGTGCAGGAGAGAAAGTCTAGATTATACTGTCAGTGTTTCAACTGCCTGTTTTTCCTCTTTATCCTGTCTTTTTTTTTCTCCTCATGTCTACGCCCTGCTCCGTGGTTCTCCTTTGAGAAGAGCGAACACAACTGCAGAGATGATTATTTTCTGAAGTGGAGCTTCGGCGGGGGGATAAGAACTACAGATTGCTGTGGTTGCTCAAACAAATAGCCTACAAGTTGTTTATTTGCTGGCTGTTACTAAACCTTCTGTAATCACAAAGGCTCGCCCCTGTGTGATGCTCATTACCATTCAGAGCCAAACAGCTCCTCTCCTCCGTTTCCATCTCTCCCTTTTCCTGTCTGTAACCCTCCTTCATTCCTTCAATACAGCTCAGCTCCTCTGTGTTTCAATATTCAATTCCTGCCACGTCTGCTGTTCATCGTAGCTGTGTTCGGTGTTGAACAGGCTGCAGAAATTATAGACGACTTAAGTGTTCTCTCTTGCTGGTCTGAAAGCGTTTTTGTTCGGTCTGATAGATAAAAGCTGTAGTTCACTCTCCTAACACCGGCACAAAAAAATGCTTGTGCCATCAATACATGCATGACATGTCTGACAGATGTTGCTGTCGGTGTGGGGAAACAAATATGCTACACAGAGGACACATTTTTTTAAATTCTACTAAGTAAATAATAGTTAAATAATATCTTATTTACAAAAACCTAAAGTCTTTATATGAAGGCAGGGTATGGGTGATTTGTTTGTTATGCTGGTTGAAAGTCACATCTCATTAGCACTCATTAAATGAAAGGGATAGTTGATTTAAAATTAGTATTCTGTCATCATTTACTCACGCTTTACTTGTTTCAAACCTTTATGATTTTCTTTCTTCTGTTACAGCTGAAGAAAGCAGTAAACCTACTACCGACTCCCATAGTATTTGTTTTACCTTCTTTGAAAACCAATGGTAGGTTAGTACGACATAGTGGAGGAGAAAAAAATTGGCTGGGTGAAAAAAAAAATGGGTGAAAGAAAAAAATGGGTGGGAGGAAAATATATATTTCTAAGTTTTTGAGTTCTCTCGCAAAGTTTTGAGTTCCCTCGCAAAGATATTTTGCGTTCCCTCGCAAAGTTTTGCGTTCCCTCGCGAAGATGTTTTGCGTTCTCTCGCAAAACTGTTTCTCCACAAACACTTCCTGTTCACTGCACTCACGTAAACCCTCCCGTTTTTGCCGAAATTCTCCCATATTTTACCATTCTACCCCACTTTCTTTACATTACTGTGCGCTAATCTTCGCCTTTCACTTTACAACCTCTGAACCAGTGAATGCATGTATAAACGCTGACTGACAGATGCGCTTCGTACAATAAACTGATCCCAGATCAGCGTCTCTGCGCGCCATTTAAAGGGACACTTCTGTTATCAAACAAGTGAGCAGCAAATGAATCTCATGTTTTTTTTAGTTTGATAACAGAGGTGTCTCTGTAAGAATGCACATAATGAAAGCAGTCCATTACTTTAGAAACTGTTTGTGCTCATTTAAGAGAAAATAAGCTGTTTAAAATAAAACATGCAGGACGGAGATGTTTCATATTATTAGTGTATTTGTCTGTTTAAACATACACCCGCTCCTCGTGTACGACGCTGATCTGGGATCAGTTTATTGTATGGAGCGCGTCTGTCAGTCAGCGCTTATACATTCACTGGTTCAGAGGTAGCATATGAAAGTCGACGATCGACGCACAGTAATGTAAAGAAAGTGGGGTAGAATGGTAAAATACGGGAGAATATCGGCAAAAACGGGAGGGTTTACGTGAGTGCAGTGAACAGGAAGTGTTTGTGGAGAAACAGTTTTGCGAGAGAATGCAAAACATCTTTGCGAGATAACGCAAAACATCTTTGCGAGATAACGCAAAACATCTTTGCGAGGGAACGCAAAACTTTGCGAGAGAACGCAAAAACTTAGAAATATATATTTTCCTCCCACCTATTTTTTTCTTTTACCCATTTTTTTTTTCACCCAGCCAATTTTTTTCTCCTCCACTACCTCCCTTCCGGGGTTCCGTAGGTTTACAGCTTTCTTCATAATATTTTCTTTTATGTTCAATAGACGAAAGACATAAACTACTTGAGTAAATAGTGAGTAAATATAGTGTTATATAAATTAGGGGGTGGTAAACTGTCCCTTTAAGAAATTTAAATGTATGTATATGTATTTATATTATCTACGGAAGTAAAGAACCAAAAACTTTGTCCAATCAAAACGTTCAGTCTGACTTCGTATAATACTATAGGCTTTCCTACCGTCTTGTGAACATGTGGATGTTGTTTGTGCAGAGCTTTCCTGTCATCAGTGCCTTTCCACTTTGTCGAATAATTGATTTAGCATTGTTTTTCAGATAAAGAGAGTCAAAAGCTTACATACAACACCTTTATCTCAGGGCATACTCACGCTAGCCACGGTTGTGTTGAACTGAGCCATAGCATGCTTGTCCCCCCTTCCCTCTCCCCCAACGGCCTGCACTCACACTGCATCTTTACCTTCCGAGCCGGAGCATGCTTACATCATTGATGATGCTCCTGTTCAGTTTAACAGGCAGAGAAGAGCTCTTGCTCAGCACAGTGGACACATTGCTTTAGAGTTTTGTATTATTTTTAGTTGTTTGGGATGCAGTGATAGGCAGTCAAATATTGATGCAGTGATACGCAGTCAAATATTGACATCTGCTGAACAGATCCAAACTTTTGACAATCATGAATTACCATGAAAGTCCTCGTGCTGCACGTACTAGGAGATTTGCTAAAGATGGCTGCTGACGTGCAGCGAGGGGTTTGTATCTTTAATAAACTATGACAGCTCGTGTTCATTAAAAAGTACAGATGATTAATATATCCACATGAAACAGTCCCTTAAAAGTGACGTTGCATCTTCAGCTTCAGGCTCAGGAGCACATTGCACTCACACTACAAGCATATCATCCCTGAGGTATGGCGCACTTCTTCCAACCAGACCTGGGGTGTGGGGGGTCAACTGAGGTTCAGTTGAGTGCTCCTGGTCTGGTTCGAAGAACTCATACTTGTCAAACAAACCGGGAAATGGGGGTGAAACATGCCCAGGCATGTTTCGGATAGCCTAGTAGTCAGCTCAGAATAGTAGGCGCTCAGAATTCAACTTTCTCCAACTACTAATCCAATACGTAGAAGCAAATGGTCTGACTGATTAAACAATTATCTTAGATGGATTAACCCGCACGGATTAATTGTTACAATGTACACTAGAAAAATAAACATTTAACATTTTTAATTTCACATAAACTTTAAGGTAAGGATTATGAAATTGTACTGCCCAAATTATCAAAACTGAAAAAATAGCTTGTTCAGCATTTAAAAAAACAATAAAGGATAATGTGTGGACCCCACTATGCTAAGATGTGTTCATGAATTTGTGTGTCAATGGCACAAATTAGTAACCAGAACAATATAAAGATTATTCTAATTTCTGACACATGTAATGTACAAGATTACTTCTCATTACTTGTTTCTCTGTTCATATTACTTACATGCTGGATATTATACGCCATCAAGATGAACCTCTTGTCAGCAGAAACCTGGAACTTCATTGACTTTAGATCCTAAAACAGAAAAACAAAACAACATTTATGATCTTAAAAGGCCATTTTTCCTCTCATCCATCTGTTTGTAAGAAAATAAGCAATACAATGTTCAATGTACTTTCAAATGGAAATGTTTATTATATATTTTATATTCTATGATAGCTTCCTATTTATTGGCGTTTTAATATTTATATTTATGCAATGTATTATTCAATCGTAATTTTCCAACACTTATTTTAATTTAAAAAAAGATTATTATTGTACATTATTAGAGCTTATTTATTTTGGAATTAAGTTAATTATTTAACTGTTTACTCTGGGGCAGCATGGTGGCATGGTTGCGTGGGTTACTTCCGGATGCTCCGGTTTCCCCCTCAAGTCCAAAGACATGTGGTATAGGTGAATTGTTAAGCTAAATTGTCTGTAGTGTTTGTAAATGAGTGTGTATGGATGTTTCCCAGTGTTGGGTTGCAGCTGCATAAAATATATGCTGGATAAGTTAGCGGTTAATTCTGCTGTGGCGACCCCTGATTAATAAAGTCATTAGGCCGAAAAGAAAATGAATGAATGAATGTTTACTCTGGTGCAAGGTTTTATTGTTTTAAAGGGATACTTCACTCAAAAAAAGGAAATTATCCCACTATTTGCTCCCAAATGGTGAGCTATGCGATAGGTGAAATGTGTCCTTGCTATCCAACATCACCCCCACATTTTTGGATTGATGACGAGAATTTTCCCTGAACATTCATAAAGAGTTATAGCAATATTCTAGTTTTTTTCTAAGTATTTTTTTTTGTCTAATAAGCAAGACCACAGTTTTTTTGTGAATTTAGTAATAGAAAGTTATTCATCAATTTTTTTTTATATCGGATAGAATCTGTTAGTTTACCTAGAGAACTCGTAATTGTTGTGTACCATTGACATTTTTATATATATAACTATTTATAGCTGTACCAAGGGCTTGACATTATCACCTGCCAAACCGCACTGTTAGTCACGAGTTAGATAGACACCCCCACTAGCCACTCAAGCTGATTAAAAATATTTTTGATTGTAGTTTTTTAAAAATCAGTGTTCGACAACAAGCATGGCCCAATATTCTAGCAAATATGATCTCAGAATCAAGAAGCAGCATGACTGACAAATATAATTGTGTTTGCACAAGGAAAGAAAAGCAGGAAAAAAAATCTAAATCCAGTAATTTTGGCAAGTCAAAGTCAAATTTATGCATATGAAACATATTTTCCCAACAACAAAATTGTGGCTAGTAAAAATGGCGAGTGGATAGTAATGTTGGAAATCCACTAGCCACAGTGGCTGGTGATCAAAAAAGGAACATAATGTAAAAAGGAAGGGACCAAGTATTGTGCCTTGTGGTACCCCAGTGTGCGTTTACATCCATATTAAATAATTCCACAACTTGAATTCTTCTTTCTATAACCCCATCATTTACAAACCAAGACTGCAGAAATTGCATTTTGGTAAATAAATGCTGTTGTAGCCAATAAGACGAGAGTAACAGTGTTGACAGTGTAGGAGGAGCTGTAGAGCAGAAGTATCTGCCATCTCGACAACATTGCATTAAACATCTGAGGCAATGACCTATATATGTTTCTCACTGTCACCGTTCAAAGGGTGGCCCTGCTGAAACAGTCTCTTTGAACACACATGCTATGGGATCAACTGGGAAGAAAGCTGGAATAAAAGATGCAGCATTAACTGCCAGAGCCTCGGAAGCCGAAACGCTCTTTGCGAATTCTCTTTGCTCATTTTTAGCTGTGCTTTCTTTAAAGACGCCTGTCTACCAGTGCATAGCCTTGCTCTATGGACTGACCCATTTGTCAGGCTTCATGAAAATGGAGCTAATGGAGTTGTATGTCTTGTCCTGCTCTCATGCCTCAAGGGGGTTGTAATTCTCTAGAGAGCTGCTCTATGCAGGTGGTTTGGGATAAAAATCAGACTGTATGTGTGTGTCTGCATGGCCATTATTTACTATCTTACTGGTTTTTATGTGAGTGCATGCATGTGTAAGTGTGCACTCACCAGGGTGCTGTTGTCCAATAGCGTGGTTGTGAGATTGGTGCTGAGATTGTGAATTAAAACATGACCTTCCTGGGTGCACAGTGACACTTCATGCTCTGTAAAACAAAAACAAATTGAGCATTTAATAGCTGAGCTTCAGACAGACCTGAACATAGGCCAGTGTTGGGTCACAAAATTAATTTATTAATATATTAGCTCACAAAATTGCAACTCAGGCTTATTCTAAAAATGTACTGCTATATACATTCCTGGACAGTGCCAAATACGTCCTAGGAGGTACTTTTTTGCAGTTTTGTTCCACCAGAGGCTGCTGTGTACGCTTTTTGAGGTCTCAAATTTCTTGCAAGTGTCGTTCACGTCTGCTGTTCTCACGTAAATCCACCAGAGGCTGCTGTCGACTGACTGACTGACTGACTGACTGAATGACTGACTGACTGACTGACTGACAGACTGACAGACTGACTGACTGACTGACTGACTGAATGACTGACTGACTGACTGACTGACTGACTGACTGACTGACTGACTGACTGACTGACTGACTGACTGACTGACTGACTGAATGAATGAATGACTGACCCAACCAATAATGTTTTCAAAATCACTAATTGACCTGCCCAGCGCCTTCCCTAAACCCAACCAACAGTTTTAAAAAGCAATTCAGAAAAAGAAAAGCCTTTGCCTTTGTTACGATCCTTGATGGCAATTTGTCTAGGGTATTAAAAGGAGTAACATAAAGATGACCAAAGTATAAACTGATGTTGAAAAATGGCAAAAGAAAACACCAAACAACAAATTAGCACCGCAAAAGATTTATTGCTCCCACATTATTTACAATATTTACAAACCATAAGATAAATTTGAAAAGAACCAAGACAAATAGGAGAGGGAACTGAAGTTTGCGCATGGAAATCAAAGAAATAAATATAACAAAAACATTCCCTTAATCTCCTCCCCAATCCACTAAATAGGAAAATAACAATATGAAAAGAAAAGTCTTCAGCGCAAAGCGCCCTGAACTTACTCTAACTAATAAATAAAAATACAAAATTAGCGCACTTCGCTAACTAGTGTGTCTATACATCAATAATCCTGCGTGCAAATATGTATGTCACGTGACTTACTATGTTGTTCCAGATCTCCCTTGTCAAATCACAGAAGGTTTTGAATGGAGCATTAGCGGGCTATAGATGTAGCAACACACGTCAGAACTCTCAAACAAATCTCACTCAAAGTCATCAGTTACTCACTCAAAGTCAACATCAATAAATCTCAATCAAAGCACACATCAGTAATAGCGACAACGCACACGGACACCACCAAACAGACAACACGCCAAAACAACAACAGCTGATCTCTCCCCGTTGCCGCTTCCGTTTTTAAAGGGCTCTGCAACGAACGCGATTGGCAGAGAGAGAAGTCATCGTCACATGGTTGATTAGGATTGGCAGTCCTGTCAGCCAATAGTGCTCCAAAGTAGGCGGTACCTGAGAAAATGACAGGGGCGGTACAGAGAGAGAGAGAAAGAGAGAGAGACAGAAAGAACATACACGCAGCAAAACGTTGCGGTTCGTAACACTCCCCCACTTAAGAATAAACTCTTTTTCAAAACAAACAAAAAAAAGTTTATACTCGTGACAGTGCATCCGCTAGAATATTCTCAACTCCCTTCTTGTGCCTAATATCCAGGTTGTAACTTTGCAAGAAGAGTGACCACCGTGTCAATCTCTGATTGTGATTATACAACTTTGAAAGAAATGTCAGTGGACTATGATCCGTAAAAACTATCAAAGGTTGTACACTACATCCAACATATACTTCAAAGTGTTGCAAAGCAAAAATTAAAGCAAGTGTCTCCTTTTCAATCACAGAATAGTTTAACTGATTCTTGTTAAACTTCCTCGAAAAATAACTCACCGGGTGAGCTATACCCTGCTCATCATCTTGCAGTAACACAGCACCAGCGCCAACATTACTTGCATCAACCTCAAGTTTGAATGGACGATTTAAATCAGGGGCTGCAAGAACTGGTGAACTACTCAACAGTGTTTTCACACTCTCAAATGCATATTGGCATTTTTCATCCCACACAAACGATTTAGAAGGGCTTAAGAGTGAAGTTAATGGACTAACCACAGATGAGAAATTTCTACAGAAGCTGCGATAATAACCAGCAATTCCGAGAAATCTTCGTAGTTCACGCCGTGTCGTAGGAACTGGGAACTCAGATATAGCCTCAACTTTCGCTTCCACAGGTCGAACTTGACCATGTCCCACTTCTTTTCCCAAATAAGTCACCTTCGCCTGACCAAACTCACATTTTGTTAAGTTAAGGGTCAATGAAGCACTTGCAAAACGTTGAAATACATCACGTAATGACTTCAAATGTTCACTCCAATCTCTGGAATAAACAACAACATCATCCAAGTAAGCGCTACAATTAGGAATACCGGCTAAAACGGTGTTTACTAACCTCTGAAAGGTAGCAGGTGCGTTTCGCAGTCCGAACGCCATGGCCGTATATTGTGCAAACGCATCTGGAGTGATAAAAGCAGCAATATCAGATGCTCTAGACGAAAGTGGTATTTGCCAATAACCTTTCAGCATGTCTAATTTACTCACAAAGTTGGCATATCCTACATTGTCAACACAATCCTCCATTCTAGGAAGTGGATAGTTGTCAGGAACCGTTAGTGCATTCACTTTTCTAAAATCTGTGCAGAATCTAAAAGAACCATCAGATTTTGGCACTAAAATACATGGAGAACTCCATGGACTAGAGCTAGGCTTAGCAAGACCATTATCCAGCAAATAGTCAACCTCTTGTTGCATAACTGAATGTTTCACAGAATTTACTCTGTAAGCGTGCTGTCGGACTGGACGAGCATCTTTGACATCAATGTCATGTTGAATGACATTTGTGAGTGTTGGCACATCATTAAACAGACACTTAAATTCAGAAATTAATGTCACAAGATCGCGTTTCTGATCAACAGTCAAGTTTTTAAAATGTGAATCAAGATCTTTTAAAATCTCAGAATTAGACAAACTCACGGTAGACTGAGAAATACTTGGAAACATAAGCCCATCTTCATCAGCATCAACAGGATTTTCTGTCACAGCCACAACAGAAATAACAGCATTATCCGTCATTTTCTCAGCATCATCCTGTGCCCTCGAATGATAAAGTTTAAGCATATTCACATGACAAGTGCGGGTTTTTCGTCTTCGGTCGGGTGTACAGATCACATAATTAGTCTCGCTCAATTTTTCTTTCACTTCGTACGGTCCGAAAAATTTAGCTGACAGTGAAGAACCAGGTATAGGCATAAAAACAAGAACTGCGTCACCAGGCTTAAAAGAACGCGCAACTGCCTTTTTGTCAAATGTTCGTTTCATTTCTTTTTGCGCACGGGCAAGTGAATCTCTAGCAATTGAACAAGCGGTCTGCAACCTTGCTCGAAACTTTGTTACGTACTCTAAAACATTCGTTTTTGAATTGTCAGTTTCCAGAATTTGATCTTTTAGAACCTTCAAAGGTCCGCGCAATTGGTATCCATAGACCAACTCAGCTGGGCTAAAGCCGAGTGACTCCTGAACACTCTCTCTAATCGCGAACATCAGCATTGGAATACCTTCATCCCACTCATTACCAGTCTGCATGCAATATTTCCGTAACATCGACTTCAAAGTTTGGTGAAAACGCTCCAGAGCTCCTTGGCTTTCTGGATGGTAAGCACTGGAGGTGCGATGTGTGATTCCTAAATTTTCCATGACCTGTTTGAAAAGCTTGGACATGAAATTAGTGCCCTGGTCACTTTGCACTATTTTAGGCAAACCAAAAGTCGAGAAAAACTTAACTAATGCCTTAACAACAACAGGTGCAGTGACTTTTCTCAAAGGAATTGCTTCAGGAAATCGAGTGGCTAAACACATCACTGTGAGCAGAAATTGATTACCACTTTTGGACTTTTTAAACGGACCTACACAGTCAATAAGGACATGTTCGAATGGATCGCCAAGAACAGGTATGGGTTTTAACGGTGCTGGTGGAACAACCTGATTTGGTTTTCCCGCAATTTGACAAACATGGCAAGAACGGCAATAACGAGTTACATCACTTTTTAATCCAGGCCAGAAAAAGTGTTTTAAAATCCGATTGTAAGTTTTCCTTACACCCAGATGACCCGAAAGTGGATGATCATGTGCCAAGCATAACACATGTGGGCGATATGGGGCAGGAACAACAATCTGATAAAAAGCATCCAATTCTTCCTTGTCAGGTGACGAACACCACTTACGCATTAACAAGTCGTTGTCTAAAATGTAAGCGCTTTGTTTTGTTTTGGCCAAATCAAGTGAAATTGCAGCATTAAAAAGTGTAGTCAATGTTTTGTCTTCTTTCTGTGCAGTGATCAATTTTTCTCGTGTGATCTTTAAATGCAATGAATTCTTGTCAGTTACATCATGCAAAATCCTCACCTTTTCTGGTTTCTTTTTCTCAAAGTTCAAATTTTCCTCTCCATTTACAACAGAAGGAAAGAAAGAGTCATTCAATTCAATCTCTTTGCGCGACTGCGCACGAGTGACAGCGCACACAGGAAAAACATGAGGATAGGCTTCACCCACCTCATCAGATGTGCATTCTGTCGGTTCATCCAGAACTTCTAATAACGGCATGACTTTTCCTCCGGCTAAATCATTGCCCAGGATAAAATCTACCCCTTTCATAGGCAGTGAAGAACAAACTGCAACACGGACAAGTCCAGAACATAGATCACTTTTTAAATGCAGATTATGCAAAGGTCTCTTTACACATCCCATTTCAATTCCTTGCACTACTACACTAGAATGACATGACGTCTCATCAGAAAATTTGATCACACTTTCAACAATAAAACTTTGCATTGAGCCTGTATCACGAAGCATTGTGATTTCCTTTTGATCCTCATCACGACCAGTCAGAGAAATAAACCCCTTAAGAATAAAAGGACGGAACGTCTCCTCCACCTTATCTTTTGAGATTTCAGCCACACTCTGATTAAAAGTCTTTACAAAACCTACAGGTTTAGCTTGTGATTGTTGTTTTCGTTTAAGTCGGGGGCAGTCAACTATTACATGACCTTTTACATGGCAATAGTAACAGTTACGTTCATCGCCAACTCTTGGTGCATTATTTTTCGAGCGCACAAACTGTGTGTTAGATAAAATTGGAACGGCAGGTGCATTCTCCACACGTGAGTGAACAAATACGTTCTTGTGAGTTAAAATGAATTCATCAGAGAGAACAGCGGCATGTGACAATGAATTTACCTTTTGTTCGTTAAGATAAACTACCACTTTCTCAGGCAAACAATTCTTGAACTCCTCTAAAAGAACAAGCTCACGCAGTGATTTAAAATCTGCCACATCACTAGCTACACACCATTTATCAAAAAGCGTGCCCTTTTCTCTAGCAAACTCCACAAAAGTTTGATTAGAAGTTTTCCTATGCGTCCTAAACTTCTGTCTATAAGCTTCGGGAACTAATTCGTATGCACGAAGTATTGCTGATTTAACTGAATCATACTTTAAACTCTCTTCAAGTGATAAAGTAGAATAAACTTCCATAGCCTTGCCTACAAGTTTACATTGCAGTAACAAAGACCAGAACTCAGGTGGCCAGTGCAATGAAGTCGCAATGCATTCAAACGCATTAAAATAAGAATCAACTTCAGATTCTCTGAATTGTGGAACAAGCGCAATGTGCTTACTCACGTCAAAACTTGAAGTGGATGAAGTCGACACCGGAGATACATATGAAGAAGAGGAAGAAGCTGGAACTGGCTGAATAGCCTCCGCAGCCTTCTTTGAAGCGTCCAACTCGAGCTGGCGCAGTCTCACCTGCGTATCAGCCTCGATTTCGAGTCTGCGTATCTGCAAACGCAAGTCAATTTCAGCCCGACGGGTGTGCTCTTGCGCATCATAATAAAGACGTGCCATGCGAACTTTCAGTCGCGCATCATCTCGTGAACCTATGGAGAATGGGGAGAACGGTTCAAACGGTGGCAAACCAACATTCGTATCAACAGCGGCCTCCACCCCTGCTTCTGCATCTGTACTGCCACTACACACGTTCTGATCTCCCATATCTAAAGAAGTCACCACCTCATCAACAGGGCTTGCATGATCAGCCGTCTCATCCATTTCAATATTTGGCGTGATAAGAACATTAAGCTCAACCAACTGCTCTGTTAACTTTTGCTTAATTTCAGCTTTACGATCCTGTCTGTTAACTACCAGTTTAAAATGATCAGCAATCAAAAACAAGTCTTGTTTCCGACAAACGTCAAGCAGCTCCAATGAAGGACTCTTAACAAATTCCTCTAAACTGAACATTTTAAATTAAAGTGTCGCGTGCTCAAAAAGTGCTGCAAACTGCTACTTCTGCAACTTACCTAAATGTCAACTACTATACAGCAATTTCTGTTGCCATCAACACAGCTTTTCTTTGGTCATTTTTTCAAAGATTATCATCTGATAAATTTAAGAAATATTAATTTCAAAAATTACTTTTCAAAAATTATTTTCTTGATGAATTCAATTTATTCCAGATGATTTATTTTATCTTACCTTAATTGATCTTATTTAATGTCTCAGATAAATATCCGGGACGAGGCCCCATTTCATGTTACGATCCTTGATGGCAATTTGTCTAGGGTATTAAAAGGAGTAACATAAAGATGACCAAAGTATAAACTGATGTTGAAAAATGGCAAAAGAAAACACCAAACAACAAATTAGCACCGCAAAAGATTTATTGCTCCCACATTATTTACAATATTTACAAACCATAAGATAAATTTGAAAAGAACCAAGACAAATAGGAGAGGGAACTGAAGTTTGCGCATGGAAATCAAAGAAATAAATATAACAAAAACATTCCCTTAATCTCCTCCCCAATCCACTAAATAGGAAAATAACAATATGAAAAGAAAAGTCTTCAGCGCAAAGCGCCCTGAACTTACTCTAACTAATAAATAAAAATACAAAATTAGCGCACTTCGCTAACTAGTGTGTCTATACATCAATAATCCTGCGTGCAAATATGTATGTCACGTGACTTACTATGTTGTTCCAGATCTCCCTTGTCAAATCACAGAAGGTTTTGAATGGAGCATTAGCGGGCTATAGATGTAGCAACACACGTCAGAACTCTCAAACAAATCTCACTCAAAGTCATCAGTTACTCACTCAAAGTCAACATCAATAAATCTCAATCAAAGCACACATCAGTAATAGCGACAACGCACACGGACACCACCAAACAGACAACACGCCAAAACAACAACAGCTGATCTCTCCCCGTTGCCGCTTCCGTTTTTAAAGGGCTCTGCAACGAACGCGATTGGCAGAGAGAGAAGTCATCGTCACATGGTTGATTAGGATTGGCAGTCCTGTCAGCCAATAGTGCTCCAAAGTAGGCGGTACCTGAGAAAATGACAGGGGCGGTACAGAGAGAGAGAGAAAGAGAGAGAGACAGAAAGAACATACACGCAGCAAAACGTTGCGGTTCGTAACAGCCTTATTTTTACCATGTTTTCAGATTTTACCACATTCTCACCCTGTTATTTACTTTTATTTTTTGGCTTCTGTTTTTGTCTAAGCTGCATTCTGGAATCGTTCTTCATCGGACTCAAACCCCATTAGGGGTGTCAAAATTAAATGTTTCTTCTGTGCACCTTGATGCAGATGCGGACAATTCGGTATCGATTCAGTAATTATCGTAAGTGGTTATTATGTTCTGATGTCATTTATCTCATATGCGCTATGTCATGGTAGCTTACTATGGCGAGGGAGGCGAGCGCGAGTATTTACATCGCTCCAACTACTTAAAAGTGCAGAAACTGTGAATAATTTGTGTGTGTGTGTGTGTTTGCTGGACAGTTTTTGTGCTACCCACTGCGCCACCGTGCTGCCCTAATCCCTAATATAGTTTTGTTTATATTTTACACTTTGCACTTTTAAATTTTTATATTTAAATAAAGCCAAGGCAGATTTAGCCTTACATTCCTTGCTATTAAAGCAAAATCAAAAGTAAACACATAAATATATATATATATATATATATATATATATATATATATATATATATATATATATATATATATATATATATAAACAGGAATCACCTTTTGAAAAAGTACATCATGTCATATAGCTGTAGATTATCGGTGTATAAACAAACTGAATAGAATAGAAAAGAGAAACAACAAAAGGTGCTCCACAAGACTTTTAAACTTGAATTATTTTACCATCCAGGCACCTCTTTAAGAGCCCATATTATGGTTTTTTGAAAATTCCCCTCCATGTAGTGTGTAACACAGCTCTAAGTAAAGTGAAATATCCAGTTAAGGCTTAAATCTGTAAGTGTACGGTGTTTAAAACTGTTGATTCATCTATAAAAGAGTCGACTCATAGTGCTTCAAACGAGTCGCCTTGATAACTAGTCATTAGGTGTTTCGCCATGACGTAATAACAAAACCAAGTAGTTGCACGGGCAAACCCGGGAGATTTGAAACCTGCGGCCCCGCCCTCTAACACAGAAAAAAAAAAACACACACACACACATACACACAAACATGCCGGTCGATTGAAGTCACACTGCAGATGGATATTATTGAGTCTCTACCCAAAGATGAAACCTCAGCATTAGTCCAGCCTTGAGCAGTTTGAGTGCTTCTGGAAACTACATGATACAAAGAATACTTGATCGGCCGTTTGTTAAAGGAAGAATCAGTAAAGACTACTGATGGACATGTCAGGACAAGGATCTGTTTCTTTCTCCATTTCTCAAGTGTAACTCAAGTGTGTGTGTGTGTGTGTGTGTGCGCGCGCGTTGTCGTCCGGAGGAGGGTTGTGTGTGTGTGTGTGTGTGTGTGTGTGAGTGTGTGTGTGTGTGTGTCTGTGTGAAAAGAGCAGAGTGTGACAAGCTAAGAGATCTCCTCGCCAGTAAAATAGTTAGTCACCTGTATTTTCAAGTCCATCGTCTGTATTTACATTCACCCACTGGCAGCTAAACTCCACGTCTTACACTATGAAGCGTGTATGCACTGTGACTACTTTTAAAATCTTGATTAGCTGCGGGGCATTTCACTCTGTCTCTCGCTGAAGACAGTCACTATCGACCAATCGCAACAGACTGTCATCGGTCCAATCAGCGCAGATTAGCTTCGGGCTAAGGAGGGGTTTGGGAACAAATTAATCACTGGACGATTCATATGGGAGTCGCTGGGATAATTAGGTAAAAATTAATGCAGATTATAATGACCATGAAAGTGTTTTTTAACATTGCATGCATATTAGACTGTTGTTGGAGACCCTTACAACCAAAATATGACCCTACTTCATGTATAATATGGGCTCATTAAAACTGCATTTTCGATATATTATGATCCACTAATCTTAATCTTGCATGTTGTACAATTAAAATTGAATGTAAACTGAAATGCAGCCTGAATTAACACCACATTTATTAAGGAGTAAATTGAATATTTTAGCTATTAGCAGAAAAACACACCACTCCCCTGTTGCATTTTAACACACTGAATTGTTACACTCCAGGAGCTTTCATGTGCAAATCAATGAAGCTAAAGCATTCACTTAAACAGTTTATACAATCTGAGTTCTCACCACTTAGCCATGTGGCACAGGGGTTGTGAATTTGGAAATCCTCGCTCTCCAGGTTCTCCAGAGTGAGACGAGACAACCGTAGGAGATGGGACTCATCTGAAACACAAGATCAGGCAGGCGGTAAAGAACAAACACAACTCCTGAGGAAAAATATATCAACATGAAAAATCGTCTAACAAAATGTAATATTGATGTTACTAATGCAAATGTAATAAGAAAAATAAAATAACATCAATGTGAAAAGTGATTCCACACACTGCAGATGTGCATTTCTTAAAGATGCACTCAGTAATTCTTCTTTAATTACATTCTTACACATATAATAGATTCAGCTTATTTTAAAGTAAACAGATTTATAGATTCTTTCCAAATAGCCAAGTGGTTTAGAAAGAGAGAATATTTTTTTCAAAACATTTTAAACATACTAATTTCAATAACTAGTTTCTTATAATTAATTTGTTTTGTCTTTGCCATGATGACGGTACTTAATATTTTACTATATATTTTTTACTATATATATTATTTAACTAGGCCTGTTAATTTAGCAACAGGGTTTCTGCAGGTTTTAAAAAGTCAAATCTAAGACTTCTTACAATCATTTAAAGGCCATTATTAATGAAATTTCAGACTTATATGGGGCTAAACACTATACAGATTTCTTTCTAATAAAAAAGAAAAGAGTTTTATTGTTCTCATCTAAAACAATTATAATTTAGTTATTTCTTATCCACATATTTTAAATAATGTGTAAAAACAAGCAAACTCAGGTTTTAGAACTGCACTTTTTCAACATAACATACAAAAATACTTACAAAAAGTTCAATGATTGGAAGTTTTTGGCCTGAATGAGTAGCTTTTCATGGACATAGAAAAATTTAGACCCGTTTAAAATGATTCAAGAGCAACAACACAATATTTCTGTTATTTTAAAAAATTTTAAGGCCTAAAATTTTGTTTCAGCAATTTAAGGAACCCAGGCTCATTCTGAAAATGTACCTCTATACATTTCTGGAAAGCGCCAAATACACTCCAGGAGCTCCATTTTCTTGCAGTTTTTGTTTTCGCGAATTCACCAGTAGCTGCTGTATATGCTCTCAAATTTCTCTCAAAAATGCCATTCGCACCTGCTTTTCTTATGTAAATCCGCCAAAGGCCGATGTGTACGCTTTTTGAGATCTCAAATTTCTCTCGCGAGTGCCATTCGAGCCTGCTCTTCTCGTGTAAATCCACTAGAGGCCACTGTCAACTGACTAACTGACTTACTGAATGACTGACTGACTGACCGATAGACTTACCCACCAATCTACTTCCCCAAACCCAACCAATAGTGCTTTCAAAAGCACTGATTGACCAGCCTACCCACTTCTCAAAACCCAACCGACAGTGTTGCAATCCAGAAGAAGAAAAGCCTTCATCAGATTTTCACCACATTTTTAGATTAATTTTAAAGAGAAAATACAGCCCTACGTACCTCTGGCTATATATTCACGATCTCCAGAAATGTATATAGGGCTACGTTTTTAGAATGAGCCTATGTTGAAACTTAAGACAACACAGACACCCTGAAGCAAGTTATTGGGCAACAGTGGTTTGTTTTGTAGCTAACTGAATAAACAAATAATAAATGGGCTAATAATCAGAGTTTCTGCAGATATCATAATGTCAAATTTAAGACTTTTTAAAACCTTTTTAAGACGATTTAGTATTTTTAAGACCTATATCGCAATTTCAAAAACACACGAGAGAACATGTAAAATCACAAAATTAGTGGGAGATTAAATGTATTTAAAATGAACAGTACTAAAGACAGGTAAGATGCACCATTGAACTACAGAAAAACAAACAAACAAACAAACAAACAAACAAACAAACATCTTAATGCTGATTTATACTTTCACCTGGCGCCGCATTGCACACCTCATAAAACGGATGAAGCTTTTATACTTGACGCATTCGCCATTGAGACAGTAAAATCAGACGAATAAAAAGATAATCATTAATATAATTGAAGATGTTTTTAGGGGCCTCTTTTTTGTTTGAACAAACTTATCCCTCAGGTTTTTCCAAACTTTTACAAAAAATTTCCTCCTTTCCCACTGGTGTTGCGATTTCTAGCCAAGAATTATTGGTTATCTGGTTCTCCCTATGATCACGCATGGATGGATTATAAAGATGTCAGTACAGAGACGTATCTGTTTTAGACAAAATCTCTTCAAACTGTTTCATATTTAACTCAGTTCAAATGCGGCGCCGTGCGAACTGTTCACCTGAGTCTCAAAAAATTCCATTAGCTCTGTTATGCCGTTATTTCAAGGACAAATGTCGTGAACTCAGTATTACAAGTCGAAAGTGCATTCATATAATATGAGCGAGCGAATCTCTTTGCTCATGCACCGATTTTCTATTTGTGGATAAAACTGCGTGCAAGACATCGGAAAAATAAGACCTGTCCAAAAAAGTCCTAGAACAGCGAATTTAAGACTTTTTAAGGCCTTAAATTTCGATTTTTAAAAAAATTTTGACTTTTTAAGACTTTTTAAGACCCTGCGGAAACACTTTATAATATTGACCATTAAAAAATTATTTAAACTGCTTTTTTTCCAGCCAAACTAAAGGAAAAAAATATTCTAAGAAATACTGTCAAAAATCCCTTCGCTCTGTTAAACTTCACTTTTGAAAAAGTCATTTCAATTGTAAGCTTTGAAAAGAAAAATCACATGAATGTTTGATGTTCTGCTATGCTGGGATTAGAAGGGCTTCTGTTATGGTGTTTGCATGTCCAAAATGAACCCTTGCCAAGAGCCAAAAGCGGATGTAACTTGGCTTTGTCCGTTTGCCCGCTCACTATATTGCATAAACTCCTCTCTATTCCAACATAACAGATCATTACACACACTCCCTTTACTCGTCTTACTCCGAAACACAGAAAATAATTACACATAAATTCAACATTTACTCTCCCTATTCAGCTTCACACAAAGCATACAGGGAAATAAAAAGGCTCAATGAACAAAACAAAGACAAATTATGTATGAAGTCCCAATGCAAACGGATTAAGTTATAGAAATTTATGTTGATTGCATGCAAAAGAAAAACACAAGCTCTTTTAAAATCCTTTTCTCTTTCGTGTGTGTGTGTGTGTGTGTGTGTTGCTCGCTTTGTTTCCTCTTGTCTTTTTGTGTTTTTGTTTGAGGATGGATGTCTTATATATGAGCTCTCTGGCGCTCACATAAACCCTCTATAATCTTCTGTTGTTTTTCCTCCATCTCTTTCTTCTATTACTGTAGCTGATCTCTCTTATGCTTGGTTCCCATTTTATTCCATTTATATTTATTTACTGCTTTCGTCTCCATCTTACCGGGTGTGAGGAGAAAAATGGAAAGAGTCACAAGAGACATGACCCCCAGGATGACCACCATGGCGATACCGATTCCCTTCCAATTTCGAGGAGGTCCTCCTGAGCTACCAAGATCCTGCTCAAAAAACAAAAATAGCTGCATTAAATTTGTTGCCCCTTATATGCATATGTTTCCCAGTAAAGGTGCAGTATGTAAGTTTGATACCCAGAGGTTAAACTAGGTATTGCATTCCTGTTTCAAAACACATGCAAGCGCAGGTTGCCAGATTGACAACACCAAAAGGAGCATGCCTGACTATCGAGTCTAAAGACTGATTTGAGCCTGATTTTTATCGTGTTCTAATTAAAAGCAAAGGCACAAGATAGAACTATTCAGTTTATCCTAACAGAACAACAGGATAAACTGAAAACAACCACCTCAGGTACACCTCATGTGCTGTATTCAGGTTAAATGTTGATAATGTGATCATTTGAATGCCATTTTACATTTATTGCCATACTACTGAAAGCAGTGCAGATAGTTCACCTCAGATCTTACAAATAAAATGAACCATTTGAAATTTAACTTTAGAACTGTGACTCGGTGCAAGCCAACACATATCAGTGATTTAGCATCTATATTTAATAATGTTAAAGAGATTTAATATGTATTAATCAGATTATAAACCTTTCACTTTTGTTGAAGTGCAGTAGGTGCACTATTCTGTGCTTTTGAATGGCTGTATTTAAATTTCTGCTGTGTTTCGTCTGATGCAAACAGCTAGTTTGCTTATCACTGCAAATCTCGGCACGTAACGCACATTTTCAAAGCAGAATATCTGACTTCAGCATTTTTTTCAGATAAACAAGAATGCTCACTTATCATGTTTCTTAAATATCTGCAAACATATTATTTGTATGCTTTAGAGTCAAAAACTTACATACAGCACTTTTAAATTGATCAAATGAGAGTGGTTATACTGTATGCATTGTAAAAAAAAAAAAACTTACTTCAAATGAACACATTCTATTCATCAAAGTACCACAGTTTACACACAATATAGAAGTGATCTAATGCAATTTCATGCATTAGGGGTTATTTATAATGTTAAAGATTTAAACTGTCATGCCCAAACATGGTTTGAGTTTCAAAAGATTTTTGGGGTGTAACACTTTTTACATGTCTTTTCTCAAAATGTATTATTCTGTGTCGTAACTTGTTTCACAAAGTTTTATTCAAGCTTGGCTCATGGTTACATTAACAAGGGTGACAATCTTTTGGCCATAGGATTTGGCAGAAAATGAGTCCAGTAAAGTGTGCTTTTGCATTTTAGGGGGAAAAAGATCTTCATTAGCCACAGTTAATTTAACACTATTAAGCTGCGTTCACACTCGAATTTGAGCTTGCAAAATTCTGTAGTACAGCGCTGCGAAAAGGGATGGGATTAAACAAGATGATTAGACATTTATAAAAGCGAGAAATTGGTCCATATTTTCATTATCTGTCCAGAGAGGTCATGTTTTAATCTTCGATTGGTCTCACGCCGTCAAGTGATGTGATTTCGCAGGTCAGACTTTACCAAGCTTGAACTTTGCAACGCAGCGAACTGCGAAACTTGTCACACGAGCTTGCGTTTCCGATCTGAAGCATTCGCATACGTATGAATAGAAGTCTATAAGAGAGAAAAGTCCAGTATGACCGCAGCTTAACTTGTAGGTTTTAAATACTTCATCTGACCCTCCTCTGTGAGTTATTTACAATATTTCACTTTTTTCACTGTTATCCATGGTGTTATCCATTATTTCCATGGTGAACCGTTTGGTTCATGACATGTTGTAGCCACATGGACTGCAGAAGAGATTGGAGCTGCTGGATTTACAACATGCCAGTTTATCAGCTTCTCCTAATCAGCAGCATTTTAAAATTATTTCTGAAAGATCATCTGACACCGAAGCCTAAAGTTAAGTTTAATCAAATATTCAGCTTTGACATAAAAGAAAGCAAAACATTTTTCAAAAATGCAACTTTAAAAAGTAATTTTTACAGAGCAGCTGTAAGGGTTTGTTACCTGTTCCACAAATTACACACTTCAACTTTAGATTCATGTATTTAAATATTGTTGAGGCAACTTAAACCCTTAAATTCCTTGAATTCCTATAAACTTTTAAAAAAACATCCAACTTCTCTTTAATAAACCAAAGCCTCATTGGTAATAATATCCCAAACCCAAAACCACAAAATATCAACTCCTATATATCTTATAATAATAATAATAATAGTTTAATAAACACACATACAATACATTGATTTTTTTTTTATGCACGTTACTTTTCTTAAAGTATTGAACTGATAATTGGTATTGATAAGAGTAGTATTACTGTTAAACCCTAGCGATACCCATACCTAACAACTTCCTTTCTTCAGAACATATGCCATGTGCAAAATTATCACACAAATAAAACATGAAATAAAAATTCTGTCTCAATTTTTATGCCACCTCACAACACAAAGTCAAAGGAGAGACGATGCAAATTTCTTTTATTAGACACAGCGAAGTGTCTTGGGAAATATTAGCCCAAAAATCATCCATTATCAACTTCTGTCAACCTCTCCTTTTCTTTAGAGCAACACATCAACTTTGCTTGCATATTCCTTGCTATTCTACAACACAAACTTTTATTTTTAGAGCAATGTCTCATGGGCAAAATTAACCATCCCCCGACGCCCCCAAAAACTAAAAAACACAAATTTTGTCTTACATTCCTTCCCATTTCACTACATAGTCAAAGTCTCTAAAACAGAGCAAAGTGTTAGGGTAATATTAGCATAAAAAATCTATACCAAATTCTGCCCCACATATATTGCTATTTTATAACAAAGTTAAAAAGCAACCAACACAAACAACATCTTTTCCTTAGAGTTAAGCATGATGAGCAACACTAGCCCAAAAACATGCAATACCAATTTTTCCCTCACATTCCTTGATATTTCACTACAAAAAGTCAAACAAAAGCACCACAGGACAACATTAGCCCAAAAAGCATTGCGTTAGCAACTTTGGCCTTGAATCTCTTGCTATTTTAGTGTGAAAACAAAAAGTCAAAAGAGAACCAACAAAGACATCTCCTTGTCCTTTGAGCAAAGTGAAATCTGGTAATATTAATCCAAACAAATATCCAGCATATTCCTTGCTATTGTACCACAAAAATTGAAAGAGGACAAACTTCTACTTTTCATTAGATCAAAATAATATAGGTAATATTAACCCAAAAACCATTGCGATACTAAATTTGTCCTTACATTTCTTGATATTTCACACAAAAATCCAAGAAAACCAACAAAGACATCTACTTGTCCTCTGAGATATTTGGTAAAATGAATCCAAACAAACATCCAAGTCAAATTTCTCCTGCATATTTCTTGCTATTTTACCAAATCGAGAAAAGACAAACTTCTACTTTACATTAGATCAAAGCAATATGATTAATATTAACCCAAACAAAGACATCCCCTCTTCCTCTGAGTGAAGTGTAATTGGGTATTAATAACCAAAAGAAACATCCAAGACAAACTTCTGCCACACATTCCTTGCTATGTTACCACTAAAGTCAAAAGAAAACAACAACAATCCCTTTTCCTATAGCAAACATCATGGGTAGTATTAGCCCAAAAACCATTGAGATACCAACTTTGTCAATGAATTTCCTGCTACCAAATTTTCCTTTTTCTTAGAGCAAAGCATCATGAGTAATATTAGCCCAAAACTATTGTGATACCAACTGTCAATGATTTCCTTGCTACCAAATTTTCCTTTTCCACAGAGCAATCCATCATGGATAATATTAGCCCAAAAACCATTGTGATACCAACTTTGTTTATTAATTTCTTGCTACAAAATTTTCCTTAGAGCAAAGTATCATCTGTAATATTAGCCCAAAAACCATTGCAATACCACATTTAACCTCGCATTCCTTGCTATTTCACCACAAAAACAAAAAAAGTCAAAAGAGAGCCAACAAAGACATCTCCTCTTCCTTTGAGCAAAGTGATATCTGGTAATATTATTGCACAAAATATCAAAAAATCAAAAACGGACAAATTTCTTCTTGTCATTAGATCAAAACAATATAGATAATATTAACCCAAAAACCATTGCAATACCAAATTTGGCCTCATATTTCTTCATATTTTACATAAAAAGTCAAGAAAAGCAACAAAGACATCTCCTCGTCCTGTGAGAGAAGTTTAATTGGTTATTAATAATCAAAAAGCATCCAAATAAAACTTCTGCCATACATTTCTTGCTATTTAACCACTAAAATCTAAAGAAAACAGCAACAATTCCTTTTCCTATAGCAAACTATCAGGGTAGTATTAGCCCAAAAACCATTGTGATACCAATTTGTCAATGAATTCCTTGCTACCAAATTTTCTTTTTCCTTAGAGCAAAGCATCATGAGTAATATTAGCCCAAAAACCATTGCGATTCCAACTTTGGCCTTGCATTCCTTGCTATTTTACTAGAAAGACTCCAAGAGTACCAGCATTGACCTCTTCTTTAAGCATAATGTCGTGACCCATGTTAGCCAAGGAAAAACACACAAAACCAATTCTGTCTTACTGCTGAGGTCCTGCTTAAAAAAACCCAAAACAGAAGTAGCTGCATTAACTTTTCCTCTCATACACACAGTCTCCCCACCGCCAAGGGAGAATGTATTAGTACTGCCTCATTTGCACTGCCTCAGAGCAGGGATTTCATGTGAGACGTGTGTATCAGCGCAGCAACCCTCCGGGGGAGAACCAAAGGACCTCGCTATGACAGAAATCTGTGTCATTTAGAGCAATCCTTCATGAAACCAGCAAGAAAAGAATTCCTCGAGTGAAAAACGAGAAGCTAATTGAGTCTCGTAATTCTGTCGTGTCTTAATTTCCACCAAATGGCGTCTCATTTCACCTATAACAGCTGTAATGGGGCTTATATACGATAAAGTGTGCGTGGGGTATTGTTTTCCAGCATGCGGGGGGCGAGGTTAGTGCTGGAAGCTTGCAGAGACACGTTCTTGACTGTTTTTGCAAGCCGAATCCGCTGCAACAAAGCTGCATGGATGAGACAAGCTAGGCTTCACTTATGAAACACT